TTTTATATTCTGTTAACTGTTTTCCCAGATTGATGTTAGGAGATGTGGGGTTTTCATTGGAAACATTTAATTCAAATACAATAAGAAAACAATTGGCAATGTTTAACCTTTGTGGTCACAAAAAATGGTGTGTCAAAAAGGATGATTATCCCCTTGACACAGCAATTACTATATACACTTTTGATTCACTCAGTAATGTTTATTTACAAGATTATAAAAATATATGAACCAAGTACAATGCAATATTAGTTACCTTATATAAAGTTTTATTAATTACTAATTTATAAGGAAATAAATTTGAAAGGAAATTTTTTGATCAAAAATTTATAAAAAATTACAAAATTATCAAAATATGTATTTATTATTTACCATTGTGTAAAACTATGAAAACAATTTTTTTTTATTCAATCTAATAAATAAATAGCGTTTAATACATTTGTTGTCGATTCTCAAGAATAAAGAAAATGTATAAATCTGCTTTTATATGTTTGGATTTTATTAAAATTCTAAGAATCACTTTTTAAAACAATAAACATTGTCAAGGAAGACAAAGTGTCTTCAGTAATAGTGGTGTCAAGAGAATAACCATCTTTTTGACACACCATATTTTTTTTTTTTTTTTTGCAGACATGAAGATTAAACATTGCCAAAAAATTAAAAATATAAACAAATATGACTGAATTCTGAAGAAAATTAAACTTATTAATGTTTTTTTTCTGAAACTTACAATGCAGTGTAACAAGACTGAACTAAATTATCAAAGTGCTCCCACCCCAATAGATAGGGGCAATCATTTCGATTTTTTTTCCTTTCTCTCTCTCTACAGGAAAGTTGAGTAGGACCAACACTATCTTGTGGTGTTGGTAGGACACTCAAATTGACCGCACATAAAGGGAGGTAACCTAACTATAATTAATTTTTTTATCTGAGGGAGAATGTACGTATTATTGTAAGATCAATTTCCATAAGACTTTAAATGGGATCATAATTATTTTAAAGGTAAAAAAAAAAAAAAAAAAAAAATAGCCAGTGGATTACTGTATTATCATCTGTTTGGTTAAGTTAATATTTCTTTTCTAAACTGACGCTATGAAATCTCATCATCCCAAACTAAAAATGGCTGAAGATTAGAATATTTTATTATCAAATAAAAGTAAATGAAAATATTTCTTTTAGGTGAAGGCAAAGAGGGATATAAAAGCATGAAAATAAATTTATATTCACTAATTTTATTTTTACAGTTTAAAGGATATTGAAATTCTTACAGAAAATAGGTCATTTATTTATGATTGTGCATCTAGTTGTATATCCTTAAATATGAAATAGGATTAAAAAAAATGTCACAAATGTAATAAAGAAATGAGATAGGAGTGAAATTTTAACTTATTTTAATTGCAGTGCCAAATCCCTTTATTTATTCCTTAACCAGGGATTGCCTGAGATAAAAGTGTAGTCCCTGTTCTCTTACACTTTATAAAATAGAACCAGGATGTAAACTGTTTTTTAAAATACAGACAAACAGCTCATCAACAGACTAATAAGAGAAAGGGGTGGTCCATTAAAGGTGATTTTCTGTAGATGGGAAGTGATTATTTTTGAGTTATAAAACCACTTTAGTAGCTACCAGTAGTTATTATCATAATGTAAATACTATAACATGTATATATGGCATAAATAAATATATACTGTACTGTATATATACAGTATACTGTATATATGATCATATATGCATGCGTGTGTGTGTGTGTGTGTGTGCGCGTGTGCGCGCTGATATATATATATATGTTTGAATAAAAAACAGACAACTTTAAGGTTCCATGTAATAAATTATTTCACCACAGCCATTTTAAAGGGCTCTGGATCATCAGACTTTACTTCCAAAGGTTAAAATGAAAAGAAATTTACACATTTTTGATGGGCCGTATTAAGCATATGTAAATTAACGAAGTGAGGAAGTGAGTGGGGAGAGAAGGCGAAGTGAGGAAGTGAGGGGGGAGAGAAGACATGAGTGAGTTAGATGTACCATTTCAGTTCTTTATCCCTAACCCCACTTGGTGTGGGCTAGACAAACGCTTCATTTGACTTATGTTATCTTTAGATATGGATGGGTAAGTGGTGAAGAGGAAAGCCGACATAAAAGGAAGAAGATACAATAAAACAATTCTGATGAGAGAAGTTTTCACTTAATTTCTTGGACGCATTCCTTTAAAGGGTATATTTGGGGGTTAAAGTTTGATATAAATCTAAATGTCTACAAAATCTACGAAGAATTTAATTTGATGTTTGTTGGAGTTTTGGGTATTTTCTATGAAATAGTCGATTGGAAAAAATTCATAGAAAGTACATTGAAAGAGTAATTCATTCTACATCTAGTAATCTTTTTTATTTTCCTAAACTTTTTTCTTGTTGATTATTAAGTTGACATCTATTCGTTTGAATTTTGTTCATAAATTAAACTTGTGACTGTTTTTAGGTACTTACATAATTATCAGAGGTTATTCCAATTTAAATAATTTTATCATCAATAATGATTCTTAAAGGGTAATATATTTCAATTTAAACTAAATTATCAGTTTAAAATTTACCTCCGTATTATTTAGACTCAGTTGAGAGAAGGTTTCCTTGGGTCTACCCATACAGATTACCTAGTTTTGCATAAACTAACTAACTATATATATATATATATATATATATATATATATGTTATATACAGTTTAAAGCATACATATACTGTGTGTATATATATGTATATATATATGTGTACATGTTATATACAGTTTAAAGCATACATATACTGTGTGTGTGTATATATATATATATATATATATATATATATATATATATTAAAAATAGAATAAAATTATATTTATTATAAATATTAAAATATACACTACAACTTGTTAAAGTTTATTTATGTGTATATAGTAGAAAATGGAGTTTTTTTTTCTGCAGTGATAATATAGTGGGGACTTAGATTGGTTTATTATTATGAGTCAGAGAAGCTAGGAAGTTCCTCTGATACTTAGGTTTGTACACTTTTTATACTTTCCTTCAGCTTTGATGCCATTATGAGCACAGAACAATTAATATATTAATCAAAATAACAAATATAATAGATTTCTCACAGTTACTTTCTCATGCACACGCTAAGTTATTGTACTTTCCATTTTTGTTTACAATTGAAAGGCCCGCCACTGCCACCAAGTGGTCACTTTGAGAATTAATATGACTCGATCTGCTAAGCCCACAAATCTTGAAATACATCATTGATGATTTGGAAGTTGTTTCCTGCATATTTTTTTTTTATTTTGCCTGCAGATTTTGTTTGTTGTATCCAAAGTCCATTGGTGGAGCATTTGTAGATGAGAGGTTTGTCTGTAATAAAATTTTAAATCCATAGTGAAAATGTTTCATTGAAAAATTAATTCTTTACTTAAGCCACATTTTTTTAAATTGTCTTTTTTTGTGAATTTTCAGTATTACAAATGTCCTCTTTGTACAGTTGTACCCTCTTTATCTGAGTGGGTACATGTTTTAAGATACCCCACTTACAGCAAATGCCTGAAATCCTAGATAGTCTTGATTCCTAACCATGTTCTATACATACACTACATTTAGCTTATAAATTGAATACACTATGAGATTAACAACAATGACTAATAATAAAATTGAACAATTGTAAAAATATGCTGTGATAAAAGTTATGGTGATTTTCTAAGTATAGTTTAGATGTAGAACAAGGCTGAAAATATGGGGCACCCAGTGAGGATTGAACTCACTATTCAGTTGTAATCATTCTAGTGAGACAAACTTGCTATCTATTACACCATGTCAAGGTGCTCCAAATGATTTTTCTAAGCATTGCTTAGATATGGTACAAGACCTAAATTGTGGGGCACCCAGTGAGCTGTGATAAAAGTCCTGTGATAGATAGAGAATTCATTCTTCTTATTGTAGATCTTAGCAACCTCAGTATGTGTTTTGTCTTTCTTTATTAAGTTGATAACTTTCACCTTTTTAATTAAAGGAAGCATTTTTACAACTTCTCTTTAGAATATCTAAACTGTCAGCATCATTCTACACATGCTTTTGATCCATTATTAAATGTTATAAGTGTATTTTTTACAGAACAAAAAAGAAACAACTAAAGTTTAAAGAAATAAACAATTGTATTAATGTAAAATACAACAAATGATAAATCAGTGTAGATGTCTCTTGTGTGAAAAAAAGAGATAAGTGGAGTTGTGAGTCATATGGAGGTAGAGGGAGGATGAGTTGTAACTTACTGGGGCAATGGTCTTTGGTGAGCTAGCCTAGTCTGATGTCTCTTGGAGATGGGAGGTTGCTTTCCAACAAAGTCTGTGAACCAGGATCAAGATGCTGTCCAACTGCTGAAATGTCCCTTTGATTGGGCTTTTATGTCCTTTCTTAGGCTCAAGTCAGTTTCAGTTTTTATTTTGTTTCTTTTGGGGAGGGTGCTACTGGGTGGAAATTCTGGATTGTATTGCTTATTTTTTTTTCTTTGAGTATGTGAGTAAAAATGGAAGATATGTATGGAGCCTTGCACAGTTTACAGAATTTTTTGTTCAGTTTTGGGTGTTTGAAGTGTTCACTTCTAGCCAGTGGTGGAAATTAGTGTAGCATGAATCAGAAGAAGGTCTGATTTTAGGAAGAATGTAACATAAATAAAACTTAGAAAATGCTTATTTCTTCAGTGTACCATGGGTTAATGAAATCACACATAAGAGGTGGGGGACATTTTTATAACCATAAAGTTTATATGTCTGTTTGGTAATTGCAGTTTAGAGTGAGTGAATTGCTTAAAGCACTTTTTCTTCTGTGGCTGTAGGTCACTAAGTTTCTGTTTTTTATTATATAAAAATTTCACTATTTTTTTATTTTTTTTAAATTTTTTTCAGTCCAACCCAACATCTGTAAAATTTGGCCATTACTATGACCTGACACATTGTATGAATGAGGAACTGATTAACAAAGTTAGTATGACTTTGGTGGATGTTAGTCAATTAATTGACTCCTCACAATTACAGTAAGTTGAGGAAATGAAACTATCTTTTTTTATTCTAATTTGTTATTTAACCCATTGAGGTTGAAAATCCATAAACCAAACCAAACCATGTCAAGTAATGACAACTCAAACCCTGTTTCCCATATTATAATATAGGTATTTTTTATTCAGAGCTTCACTTGTTCATCTGGGTGAGTAGTTAGGTGGCACTTGGGACAATTTTTGCTATGTCATCTCTTCCACTGACCAACCCCTTGTCCATCTACATATCTTGATCCGAAACTGGCAATATGAATGGACAGCATCAAAACCATGTGACACAAATCTTAAATGTGAAAATGACAAATGTAATTGAATTCATCTTATTTTTAATTTTTTTTAACAAAGATCATAGAAGCATTGAGAAAGGTTTACCTGCTGCTTTGAATCCTGTTATGATAAAGTATGATTTTGTAAGGTTAAATCTTGGACTGCTATAAAGAACGATAACTCTGTTCAGTTTCACTTGTTATTGGCATTTGTGACCCTATTAACATAGTGTCTAACTCTAGATACATAGACACACATAAAATTGCCTGTCTGCCACTAGCTACACCTTTAACCTAAAGTTATCAAATTCAGCAGAGCTACTTATCTTGAGATAGAAAATGGTTTTACAAATTTCTGCTCTTGCACTCTTTTTATTTGTTTATGAAATGCTAATTTATTTAAAATAAAAGGAAAAACTGAATTAAATGAAACCAATGCAGTTCCTTGTAAGCATTTGTTTACATTAAGTATTCTCACTGACATTTTTGTAGGTGATGACAGTTTATGATAACATTTGTTGATTTCATGTCATGGATGTCTAGATGGATATAAAATTACAAATATCTTCAAATAATTATCCAAAATGGCTTGAACCAGTCAAAGGACATCTTAGCAGTTGAAGGGGAAGTAATTTTTGCATAATGGGGCCTCATTACATAATAAATTCCTAGTATCTTGTTAAAAATAAAATAGATAATGATTTGATGACTTCTTTCATTTCTCCTTGATTATTTCTGGTCGCAGTACCTAATGTACAGCTCTACTGCAAAATCTTTCAATACCTTCTTTGCACAAATATTCTTTGGTTTATTCTTAATTTAATCTTAGATGAAAAAATTTTGAAAATTGGAAAAAAAAGAAAAATTGTTACTACCTTTATGCTGTAATAGTTGTGACATTTGCATGTAAATTTCATTTACTAAATATAATAATCATTATGGGACAACTGTCCTGTAATGACTTTTACAATTGTAAATAAAAAATGAAATAAAATCTAAAGTCAGTGGAAATTAAATAATTTTTGTGGTCGGAACCATTAACCTTTTAATGCCCATTGTAAAATCCAGCATTAAATATCAAAGTAAAAAATACTGTATTATAGGGTTATAAAAAATTTTTGAATTTTTGGCTTTCTTATTAGAATTCATTAATAAATTACTGTCTTTTTTTTCCTTTAATATTAACAGATTGATTTAAAAAAACATTTAAATCATTTACATTTCATTTCAGTATATCTTGGCATTTAAAATTTATGTTGCAGGGCATTTGTTTTTCATTAAGTTACATTGTATTTAATGCAAAAAAAAAATTTTCCAGCTACTGGTGCACACCGATGAGATCGAGGATCAAAATAGAGTGTGTGTGTGTTTGTTGTAATCATTGGCCAGTTGATGGGGAGTTTGGGTGAGGGTAGCATTGTATGTTTAATGAATAAAATAAAAATTCAGGTCTGTTCCTGCATATTTTTTTATTTACTTGTTTTGTTAGATTAACTGTGATACTGAAAAATCAGAAGATATAATTGTATCTTTCAAATGTTAATTATAAAATGTGTCTGTCATGTGGTTCTGATGCAGTCCATTTGTATTGCCAGACATATGTTGAGATGTGTAGATGGGTGACAAGTTAGTAGTGGGAAGAGCTGATCCATATATATGATATCACATATAGTTATCCCAAGAGTTTACCTTTTCCAGGTGAATATATATATATATATATATATATATATATATATATATATATATATATATATATAGGGAAATTTTAAACAAAATTTCCATAATACAGTTCTTGATATATAAAAATATATATTGTTATATATCATATACATATTCATTGCATGGAGAGTTGTTTTTTAACATTAGGTTTTTTCACTTTTCAATCTTCAGACAAACTGGTTTATTTTTTTTAAAAGTGGATCTATTTATTCTTATTTGTGTGTGTGGTGGGAGGGGAAAATTTTCTTCTGTGTTTGTTTTGGGATGACACTCACATATAATTAGACACAAATACATAAAGGCATACATTTAGTTCATACATATATTTTTAACGGTTTGTTTGATCAATTTTAAATGTGTCAGATAATTTATCAAATAGAAAAAAGCTCAGATGTGGATTAGGTGGAGAATATTTTTAAAGACATGATAAACTGGAACTTAGTGTTTCATTGACACTTGCAGAAAACAAAATGTAACAAATGTATCATGTTTGTAGACAAAAATGACATGTACAGTTTTTCAAAGGACGATACATTTATTGATTGCATTTTTCTGCAATTGTCAATGATGACCAGACTAAGTTCCAGTTTATATCATGTCTTGAAAAAAAACATATATAATAAATCTGATCTTAATTTTCTATTTAGTATAAATTTGACATAATATATAATTTGTTAAATTTCAAACCCATAAAACCATAAAAATCTCTGACCTTGTGTTTCTTCACCTGCTACCTTTATCTTTTGGAAAACAAGTAACGCTTTTTCAAAACCATTTAATCACCAGTTACTTACCATCGGATGAAGACACAAAGTGCCAAAACATAAAAGCTATTGTGTAGCGATTTCAATATGTTTTTGTTCTAATCTCTTATAATAAAAATAATAATAATAATATATTGCTCTACTTTGTATTGAGCACTTGATCGGTTGCCTCACTGGATAGGTCGCACCCCTACTTTTTGGCTTAATAATTGATGATTTACTGTTGACTCGCAGATAGGTTGCACTATAATCTGGGGAGTTACACAGCCCTTTTTAAATGTAAGAATTATCAGATATCTACCTTTTATTTTCAAAACTTACAATAATTAATACACTTTTGCAGTTAAAATACATTTTGTCAATCATCATGTAAATAAAAGGAAGTAACTTTTGTACCAGTATTTTTATATTTAGCATATATTATTTTTATATTGAGTCAACTCAACAAAAAAAAAAGAAAAGAAATAACTGCAGAAGAAAATGTTATGATACATTTTAAAAAAAATGTTTAGTTTATCTATTTATGAAGTTACACTAGTTTTGGGTACTGGATTCATGTGTTTTGTTATTTGTAAATAACAGTTGAGAATGCCTTTTAATGTTATATGAAACAACTATTAAAGAAAATTATCTCATAAAGAATATATTTCATTTCTTTAAGTCATATTTTCCAACGTATTTTTGACAAAATATATATATTTTGCAGGATGAATCGTGGGACTATTTTTTCTTTGTCAATAAACATCTACATGTGGTTCCTTAACTTATGTATGCATGTTCAGGGTTTCTATATCAGTCTAGTGAGATGGCCCCGACTGAACAGTGACTGATGCATCAATGAATATTTTATAATTTTATTTATTTATTGTGATGGATATGTGAATCTAACGGCATGAAGTAAATTTAAAGCAGTGAGTCAGTATACATGATAAATTGTTTCTATACAGAGAAAAAAACTACAGCTTTAGTGTTTATGGATATCATTTCCAATTTCTCAGAAATCATGATGACAAAGTAGTGTTGTTTTACATTTATGTCGAACAGATAGGTTTCACCTCTAATACTCTGTGAAATTTTTGGTAAAAAAGTGCAACTTATCCATGAGTATAAATGCTATGAACAGTGGAATTTTAGTCCATCTGTTCTTTCTCTCACTTGAATATATATATATATATATATAATTAACACAAATAAAAAAATTGTCACTTAGCTGATTAATGTTATAGTCAACACTTTAACTCCAGAGTTTTGTAGATGAACCCTTTTGTTCAGTCCGCTCATCAGGTTTCAGATACATATAGGTAAGGCTAGGATGGATACCTTCCTCAAGATGGTGTCTTGATCAAAGCACTCATTGTACTTGACTACCATGAGTGTCTGAGTTGGGCATCAGGAAGAGCATCTGGCCTTTTAAGATCTTGTCTCAAGTCATTATGACAAATCCTCTGTCAAGCAGGATCCACCTTATTTTGTGCAAGATTAATCCTGGTCCTGCCTCAAATAAAAAACACGGATAGGCTATGTATTAAATTGAAGATAAAAAATACATTTGCGATTAATATGCAGTAGAAAGGGAGATGATTTTTTTATGTACATAGATCTTTATGTATCAGATTAATATATGTAAATGTTGATGAAATCAGTTGAAATCTATTTTCATTGTTTTTTGTAGAGATGTTCATAAAGTCAAAGAACCTAAACTTTGTGCCTATGAGAAACTTCTCCAATGTATTCAAGAAACAATCATAAAAAAGACAATTTTTAACACATTTTAAGCCATTTTCAAATGAATATTTTTGAGAATAGGTAAAGATTTTTCTTTTTTTTTTTTTTAAAGTAAAACCACGTTTTAATTGTCTTTGAGTAATTGATTTAATGTTAAAACATGTGATTATTTTTGATCATTAATTTTTTTAAAATTGTTCATTTATCTACAGAAAGAAATTTTTGGCAATCTTGAACATTTGTGCCCACAAAAAAAATGGAGTCTGAAAAGGACAGATTTTTCCTTGACATTGCTATTAGTTTAACTATCTTCACTCCTTAGGAATGTTTATTGTTTTAAAAAGCAATGACTAGAGTTGTAATAATATCTAACCATATGATAAAAGTGAATTTATAAATTGTTTTTGTTCTTGAAAATTTAAAACAAAAAATATTAAACACTATTTATTAGATTGTTTATTTACAAGAATAATTTTATATTTACAACATTCTAAAAACTAATACAATTAAAACTAATGCAATGCAATATTTATCATTTACTAATTTATAAAGAAATAAATATGAAAACAATTTTTTATTCATAAATTTATAAACATTTACTAAATTATTAAAATATGTCAATCAACTATAAGGAAATCTATTTACCATATATTATTTATCATTTTATGAAGTTTGAATCAATTGGCAATTAGTTGATGTTTTGCCAACAATTCCAATAAACAATAATAAATAATGTAAATAAACAATCTGATAATGTTTATTATTTTTGTTGTCAATTCTCAAGAACAAAGAAAATGTATAAAATCACTTTCATGTGTTTAGGATTTATTAAAATTCTAATCATTGCTTTTTAAAACAATAAACATTGCTGAGGAGGGAAGGTAGTTAAAATAATAGCGGTGTCAAGGGAAAAACTGTCCTTTTGACACTTTTTTTTTCTGGGGTGTGTGTGTGTGTGGGGGGGTCATGAAGGTTCAAGATTGCCAAATTTTCTATACTTATCTGGAATTTTCATTGTGTAGTGTTTGATTTATGTAATTGAGAACTGTTAAGGTAAATGGATTGAAAAGAAGTAGATATATTAGAGGAAAATATTTGTTTTGTAGAATAAATGATTGTTTACCTCTCATGCTTCATACTTTTTTTATCATTTCATCCCAAGCAAGGCAATAAAGCCATTTATGATGAAAGGAGTTACCATTGTTCTTTTCTTATTAAAAAAAAAAAACTATTTAAGAGAGAAAACAATAGAAGAACAGGAATTAAAAAAACAGAAGATATCGATTGACATTGCATTTAAATTTTTGAAGATCAAAGTTGAGAAACCGGAAGAGAATTTCACAAGTGATAAGTGTGAGAGAAGAAACTTTTAAGATATAATTTATGGTTACATTTAGCCATTTCAACTGTAAAATGATGAGACCTAACTGCCAGTCTAGTACTATGCTTAAATTCATGAAGCTGAGCTACCAGAATGATTGACATGAAAATATTTTTAGAAAAGGCACAGTAAAACATCATTATGGTGGTGGGAAAGTGATTGAAGCATCATATGCAATAAAGATATTATGAACTTACATTTCCTTGAGGGGCTCTGGTCAAATTTTAGATTGAAAAATAGAAAGATACTGAGTTTTAACTGAGTAATCAAATAATAAAACCCTTTTTCAATTGAACAAAATGATTCTCTTAAAGCAATCCAAGCATATCAACAATGATTCTTCTACCAAAGAACAAATATATTTAATGACTTCAATTGGGGATATTATAATAGGTTGTAGAGATATACAAAGTGATCATCTCCCTTTGATTGAGATGAAGTCATGTGACAACTGCTTAGTGATGTCATTTCATAAAGTGTTAAAAGTGGCCAGTCTGTCAGTTATCTTCCATTTCTTAAACTGAGCAGTTCCTTTTTACTGAGCTGTTGCTAAATCTGCATTCCCTGGCCTGCTGCCATGTTGTGCACACTGCCGTTTTCCTTTGGAAATATATCTTTACCATAGAAACTATCTCTGGCTCGCAGTTCTCATGTTGGGAAAAACCCATGACTCACTGTTTCCTGTTTGAGAGGAATGTGTTCTTGCTAGTGACATAGAAGATAAATTCAGCTGTACTTGAATATCCTCTGGGAATCATAAATATGGCTTCTCCAGAAACATAAGAATACTCTACCATCTCAAAATTCCCATTGGGAACTATTACAATTAAGATTTACTCTTTTTGTTACCTTTTTCACTTTTTTGTTGTTTTTATTTTAAATTTATAGTTTTTTTTTTGTTTAATTCAAATGTTTGTATTTTTAAATATAATTGTGTCTATGACTTAGTGGTATAAAACTCTCTCTGAGAACAAAGCATGTTTGTTATCCCTTTTCTTTCAGCTATTCCATTCCACCCATGAAATAAGATATTTGAAATAATACCAATAATGGGGGAAAATGAAAACTTGGAGATATTCTTTTCTTCCATAAAAAATAAATCAAATTATTTGGTAATTACCAGACTTTGATATTATTAAAATTCCCTAAAAGTTTTTCATGTTATCCCCTTATTTAGGATCAGAATCTCATCGTGTCCTTCAGTTTGCAGTTCAAGATTCTAGTCACTGAGCTACATCTATAATAAACTTTCATATCAATTATTGATGAACAAAAAGGAGAATTTATTACAAAATCTGAGATCTTTAATGTAACTTTCTCTTTGCAGCTTTGCATTCTGTAGGTTCTCCCTTATGGGGGGATCTATCAACCTGTGATGTAGGAGGCTCATCTCCTGAAATGGACATCATGCTACCAAGGTTCTTCCTTGGGAAAAAAATTTATTATATATTAAAAAAAAGCTTTTTTGCAGTGGCCATGATTACTGTGCCTTCCTTATATCTTTTTAAAAAAAAAAAAAACATATGATTTATTCAATCTCATTTTAATATACTAGATTTTATCAATAATGAAAAGTTATATTAGCAGTAAATTTTAGTAGATGCCCATATTTGAGTAGATGCCCTGCTTTTTTAAAACAATGTGAATTACATCTACCAGTCTGTCCATTCAAGAGACAATAAAGAAAAATGTCTTTGGCAGAGTCCTAACCTGTGTTCCCCTTTATAGGGGAATTTACTGTCTGATCTAGTTTACTTCATGTTGGTTGACACTGAAAATGTCATAGCCCAGCAAGTCTAAAGTACATTGGATCAATAGTCCAGTGGATTAAAACATTAGTTTGTGAATTTGGTGATATAGTAATTGTGAGTTCAATCCCTGGGCCAGGCAGTGTGTATGTGGAAACAGGCAAGCAAAAACTGTGCAGTACTAAAAATAAGAACTAGTGGAATGAGAACAGTCTATCCCCGTAGATTAAATAAAGGATTCAGTTCAGAATTCCCTGTAGGTTACCCAGATCGATATACACCTGAAGAAGGCCAGAGAATGGTTGAAACATTTTGATAACAACAACAAAATTGAGGACAATAGTCCAAATATAGTGTAAAAAAAATACCTGAATTGCTCAACAAAATCTCAAACTTCAAAATAAATTCTTATAAATATTTCAAATACAGAAAAATATTATCTGACATTCAGGTTGTATATTTCTCATGTAAATATATTCTGAAAATTTTACCAATGTCAGTTGATTAATATCAACTGTGAAAAGATTGACTTGCATAATAAAATTTGCCAAGCAATGAAACTTTGCATGCATTTAAGCAATATATCCACAGAATAAAGTCCTGAATATTATTTTCCATCATGATTGCACAAGGCCGCATTTCAATCAATGGTGAGAAGCCTTAAATTCACTTTTCTTGTACATGCTCTATACTTATAGTATATCTAGATTTGGCAGCCTCTTATTTCTGCTTGTTCTCCAAATTAAAAGAGGCATTGAAAAGTTGATTTTTATTTCATGTAAAGTTTTGACTCATTATCATTGTTCTTTGTCTCTGTTCTGCTATCCATATGCATATTCTTTTTTATGTGTATGTCCTTTTACGTCTTTAGCAGTCATGGCTCTCTACATCTTCCTGTTTTTTGTTGCTCTAAGTAACTTTTGACTTGTTATCTTCATTCTTTATTTCTGTTTTGCTATCCATATCTTCTTTTTTATGTGCTATCTCTTTTCAAGACTTAGGTGATCATAGCTCTCCACATCTTCCTGTTTTTTGTTGTTCTGAGTAACTTTTGACTCATTACCATTGTTCTTTGTCCCTTTTCTACTAACCATATATATCTTCTTTTGTGTGCTATGTTGTTTCATTTTCAACTGTAAAATGAGAAGACTTAACTGCCATTCTAGTACTGTGCTTAAATTCATGAAGTCAGGGTACCAAAGAGGAAAGCTCATCAGAACAATTACCATGAAAATATTTATAGAAAAAGCATAGGAAAGCTACATTAAGGCAATGGGAAGTGACTGAAGCCAAGATATAAGGCCAGGACTGATAATACAGATTCTTCTTTGATTTTATCAAGAATCTCTAAATACTTAGCAGAAGCACCAAAATCAGATGTGACAGCAATATTCAATGCATGGTAGACTGTAGGAAAATGAAACAAAATTCATAAATAAAATAATAATAATAATAATAATGAGTGATAAAAAAGAAAAAGTACATTTTCCCATGATGCTAAGATTAAAGGAACCAGAAATATAATTACCCAACTTGGTTTTGCCAAATATTTGCTAGGTGGCTTTGCTGGAGCTTATAAAAAGGTTCAAACATTTCCTGCCTAATACTCTCCTCTTTCCTCCAAGATGTGAACCATGTGGTAATTATATTCCCACTGGAGAATGTAGTTTTTCTGGTCCACTAACAACTGAACTCTTTTCCCATTTTCCAATGCATGGTGCTCGTAAGTAGAAACTTTCCTTTGGTTGTCCAAAATCTGTGCAAGGCTAACTTGAGCTCGATCATAAATTTAATACTTGTACTTACCTACTCTAACTTCTGGACTTGAAAGAGAATAGACATACCCAAGAGACATAGAGAACTTTGTTTCACTACAGTCACCATAAAAAGAATAATCATTCATAGTAGAAAGTCAAGTTTTGTTATGCTTATATCTTCTTAGTTTACATATTGAACATGCACCTTCGTCCAAAATACATACACACAAAACCTGTTAATTTCCATAACTTATAAATATGTAAGATAGATTCTGGTAAGAAAAATTTTCTAGCATGACATGATGATCCAAATTCCCTAGCAACAAACCTAGAAATTAATTCAATATAATCATTCCACTTCATGTCAACAGAAAACATTAGTCTGAGAAGGTGCAATGAGTCACTCTTCTGTAAGGCAAGAAAGGTTCTCTAAGATGATTAAAAGAGAGCAATTTTGCTTTGAAGATTAAAATTAGCAAGCCATTTCTTGCCCCAATTAACAACAGATTGGAGGTCTTATTTGATATCAGCTGCCAATTTGACCATATCAAATTGATCAGACTTACCATTAAGACAAGAATAAATTGTTATCATCAGTATAGACACTGAGTTGAGGCCTGATGACATTAAAAAGGTCATTGATGAAAATTAGGAACAATGTAGATCCAAGGATAGAGCCATGGGGGACATCTGCATTAATGCAAAAAGATATAGAAGAGTGGCCATTCAAGACAACTTTCATTTTGTGATTTGATAAGAAAGATTGAATGTTCAAAAATTTGTCCAGAAATACCATGATCTTTCAACTTGTGAAGAAAACCAGTATGCCATATCCTGTCAGTTGTCTATTCCATTGGCTTGTTCATTTTTTGTTTATTTTCTGATGCATTTTGTCAGTTTTCAACACTTGGAATGTGAGATTATCTACATCTACAGGTAGTTTACCAGAAGCAAATCTAATGAATGATCTTCAGAGTTATGTTAATTGGCATACACCTCAAAATTTTCACTAGATACCAGTAGATCAGCAAGGATAATCACCAAACCATGTGGAATGAAGTAAAATTATAAGACAGTGAAGAACACTGGTGCTTCTGCTATGTATCTAGAGATTCTTGACAAAGTCTAAAGAAGAATTTGCAATGTTATCTATCCTGACCTGGCATCTCAGCTTCAGTTTCCCTCAGCTATAACATAGCTTCCCTCATGCCTTTTTTATAAATATTTTCATGGTAATTGTTCTGATGAGCTTTCCTTTTTGGTACCTTGACTTCACAAATTTAAATGTAGTAATAAATTGGTGTAATGGATATCAGCTCAGAATGGGAACTCAAAGAACTGAGTTCAAATCTCAATTGAGTTTGTTATATTCACTTGTGTACAAATACCCTTGGGAAAAGTATGAATCCATCTCTTCTCCCCCTAGCTATCAGTTAAATAGCAGGACAGACTGAGTTCTTTAGCCTTGGTTGGCAACCAATCTACCGCAGAAAGAATTGGCAACCTACTGTGGGGAAAAATCTTCTGCCTTGCCAGTCATGTGTCGAAAGATACATGATTGCCCAAGCATGTATTACATGTGACACTTAACTGACAGACTGAATAGATTGGCAGTTAGGTCTCATTTTACTGTTGAAATGGCTAAGTGTAAGCATAAGTTCTATTTTAATGGTTTCTTCAGAGATTTAACTGCTATGTTAATCATCATCTTCTGTCTCGTTGAATCACGTACTTTTAATGTCCTCTCTCTGCTCAACCTTTTCTCAGCTTACTTCACTCACAGTAACCCCTTGTGTCTTAATGGCTTTATCACCTTGCTTGGGGTGAAATGATTAAAAACAAATCTGATGTCTGAAGGAATTATTGCATATACTAGGCTATAACAGTCTCCTCAGTTAGCCTAGCATAGATAGAAATACCATCTGGGAACCAGTAATAAGGATGCAAAGAGAAATGGTGGCATAGGGAGTATTAAGAAAGAAGCATCTGTGGAGGAGGTCAAGAAAAACAATAGCAAAAGCAGCAGCAGCAGCAAATAAGGGCATTAGGTTTAAGGCTCCAAGTTCTTGGAGAAGAGCCTAGAGAGTTGGTTTGTAAATTTGGTGGCATAATAACATAACATAATCTAATGACTTTAAATAATCCATAAATGGTTGATAAGCCATACAAAAACACAATTAATCAATCTTATGAATCACCTAACCTTATAAATATTCTCTATTTTTTACTCTACACATACAAACACACACACAAACATTAATCTCATGTGGAGAGCCATGACTACCTAAGTCTTGAAATAACATAACACATCAATTTTATCTAATAATTTTGTTTAATTACTTCTTAATGTTGCTTTTCTATTTCTTTATGTCAGATTCATTTTTGTCTTTTTTTCCTTAAACTTGAAGGACCCAGGTTTTGTGCGGAGAATTGAAAGACTCTCTGATACTGTGGTACAACTTGAAAGCTTTGCGGATTCTAAAAAAGCCAGGAATCCCCTCTACAAGGATTATCATGGTATGTGAATCATCCAGTTTGTTCTGTTGTCAAACTCATTAACATTCACAGTAGTAATTTTACTTTGTTTCTTTCTGTGGTCGTCCTGGTATAAACTACATCCAGCAGTAAGGCCTCTGATTGGGAGGTTTTGAGGAGTGTGGAACCACTTTAATTGCTGTTGTTACCAGGACCACCCTGACCCAAACTGAGATCAAGATATGCAAATATAAAAATACATTAGAAAAAATTACCAGCAATACATTTTCATAGTAAAAAAAAATTACCAGCCATACATTTTTGGGAAAAAAAATTATCAAAGCTTACAAGAAAATAAAATAAAATTTTGGCATTAAATGACCCATAAGGAGTTGATATGCTGTTAAACAAACCAAATCTTTATGTGAATGCCATAATTTCTCTACTTAAGGACATGCATTTTTGCTGACTTGTTTTTTTTTTAATTCAGTGGTGGGTGAATTACAAGCCGGGTTTGAATTCTGCAACATTTTGTGTTCATTTCCCATTGATATTCTTGAGAATGGCATGAATCCATCTCTTTCTCCCTCCCTAGCTATAGGTTAAATAAATAGGGTAGACTGGACTATCTAGCCTTGATTGGCAACCCAACTAAAAAGTCAAATTTCAACTTAAGACTTTGGAGAAGGTACTTGACTATCTTCCTCAAGAGCAATCATAGCAATAAACAGTTTAGAGATATTATAGAAAAAAGGAAACTGTGGAGAGCCATGATCATCTACATCATGAAAGGAAAGAAATTACTCTGATTGTCAGATAGTTAAAGTTGGTGCAGGAATGCACAAGGTGCGTCTATTTTATGTTACTGTCATCAAGTCAACTTCAATAACCAAACAGTAGCTTGGAAGAAGTGGAATTTTTTTTTCTACAATCAAATGGAAACTACTCTCTTTTGAGGCATTGAATGACAAGCCAGAGAAACAAACTCCCTGCTTGCTTTGAAAGCAACTGACTGCTACTACTTTGAGTAAAACATATGTAATAATGCTTGCCTTAATTCCTGACCACTGACAATTCATTTTCCTGATATTAATGCTTTTCTATTACAAAATTATTTCCAATGCCCTTTGATAGTAAAACTATTTACATTAAACATATAATGGCTGTATTCAGTCAGTAACACTTACCTCAATTCTTGACCACCCTTTCTTCCTAATTTCAAATGCACAACATACAAGTTATTTGCCAGAGGTTGTTGGAACAAGTTTTCAGTTAATAATTGCAAAATTCCATGATAATCAGCAATTGATTTTTCCCTACTGCTAATTTGTGAGCACAGAAAGGCTAAAGAGTAGACATATTGAGTAACAGTTACTTGGTATTAATAAGAAAACCTCTAAACCAAACTTGTGATTATATTTCTGAGATGAGGTATTGTAATTATTTACATTGTTTGGACTTTTGTCCTCATCTTTATTGCCATATTCACAACGTTTCAGCTGTTGTATGCTCCAGCCTTCTTCAGGTGATATTAGTTGGAATTTTGAATCAAATTCTTAATTTAGTCTACCAGGATAGATTGTATGGCAATAAAGATGAGGACAACAGTCCAAACAGTGTAAATAGTGTAAATACAAACTAGTGATATTTTGTCATCACTAAGTGGACCCTAACTTTTTACCTATCACGATGAACAGGTGTTCCCTCAGAGAGGGTCGTACCATAACCATCTATTGGGACTTGAACTCAACTCAAACCTTAAGTGGAACTTGTATGTACGATCCATCGCTAAAGGTGCAGAAAAAATGGTCAGTTCCCTGTGCCACTCCAGTAAGTACCTGACTCCTGTTGCTATTCTCTATTTTTACAAGGGCTAGATCAGGTTGAAATTTAGGATCTGCCCAGCCTTCACTTTCCAGTCTCATTAGTTCAAAAGCATATCCCTGTCCTTATGGGTGATGAATTATTTTCCATCCTATAACCCCTTACCTACAAATGAAACATTGCAAGTCTCTCTATTGCTATTTCGATGGAAAGTGTTCAGATGAATTTCATTCCTTAGTTCCCCTATCTCTAACCTTCACAGCTAAGACCCACCATGTCACACACATTGTAGTGAACCACCCTCATTCCCTTCGTATTCTATTGTTGAGATATAAGTTTCACTTGAACAGCTTCTTTGTGGAACTGACTTCCAAGTAGATGGTTCTCCAATCACTCCAATCTTAACCCCTTCAAGTAATAGGTTAATTGTTATTTCCCCACATATCTCCATAAACTGTGTCTCTTACTTCTTACCTAGTAGCCCTCTAGCTTGAGTGGCTCTTGAGTTTTGTACAGGGTGAACATTAATGTAAAAAAAAAAAAAAACAAACCTTGTCTACATATTCTAGGTTTAAATGTAGTTGGCATGAAAATACAAGCACTATTATCATTTCATTTTTTTTCTCTTATCACAAGAATTTGCTGAGTTTTTATAAATTGAATTGCTAAAGAATTTAGAAGCTTCTACCTAACAGTGTTTAACTTCTTCCTTTGCCTATACAATGGTAGTTACATAGAGATGGGCTCAGTTGACTCTGCTTTACCCAAGACATGCCAGGCATGAATGAATACCACCTGAGATATGTGGAAGGAGTTGTTCAGGTTTTCAGCTGCACAGCAATCCTACACCCACACCCAATCTTATGGCATGGCATGGAATCCATGAGTTGCTGTTGTCGTTTGGATACATCAATCCTCACTCATTTTAAAGGATGTCTAGAACTGAGTTGTGTTTATTGGATATGACTGTAGCAAATTTAATGAAGTCTGCAACATATCCTTTACTTGCTTAATGGGGTTTAAATTTGCTGAGTACAAGGGCCAGTAGAGTATAAGGAAGTCAACCAAATGTTCCTGGAAACAGGTTCATGTCACCTTGTGTTGATTCCAATGTTGCTTGGAATGTCTGCAAAAGACTTGTCCCTCCCCAATTTATAGGCAGAAGCACACAAATGCATGCTGGGATTTTTTCCTAGCTAATAAAATAGGCTGGTTTTTGTTTTCATCTGACTCAGTCTCTGTCTGTCTTGTCTTGAAGTCAGAATGCTATGTTCACATGTCCAAACTTGTTCTTGTGTGTCAATCCCAATTCTTAGTTTGTGAATTTTTTTACTTATTACTGTTGCTTTGCCTTATTACTGTTAATTTGCTTTGCATATATTGTTTGCTTGATTTATATTATTTTTTGTCTTGTTCTTTTCTTTTCCTTGTAATGTTTTATTGCAAGCTTTGTCAAATCTGTTTGTTGGGCAGTTCTGCCATTCATTTATTTACATTTAACAATGGCCACTCACTCTACACCTTGCATGATGTGGATTTAAGTTATCTTGATTGAACAAATCACCACAGCTGGGAAACAGGGTCAATATAAAGAGGTATAAAAATGATCTGCAACCAAATTTGTGTATGTCATTTCTTTTTAAAATAAACTGTTATCATCCAGAATGATGATGATAATGATATTTCATCATTCTAAAAACCAAACCTTTCCACTAGTGATGATCGATAATAAGGATATTTCATCATCCTGGAAATGAAGATAAAAATTTCATCATTCTAGAATAGTCTTGCCACCAGTGATGATATATGATGATGATATTTTGTCATTCTCAAATTTGAAACTTCATTATAAAACAACCCTTCCACCACAAATGAGGTCAGTAGAGTAGCAGTAGTAAAAAGGAACAACACAGGCATGTCTTCTTTCCTCCATAAAATCAACAGTTGACGGTTTCAGATGCTACCCTTAACCATGAAATTCTTGGAACAAGCAAAAACAAGTAAGCACAAACTTTTAAACAAAAGTGACAATAACACTGAGAACATTTTTAACACACACAATAATATTGTAATTAACATCATGAAAAGAAAAATACATATTCTTGTCATTAATTTCAACATTTCTTATTGTTTATGTTATTGTTGTATGCTTTACATAAAAAAAAGAAAAAAAGGAATCCTCTATCAACTACAAATACAAATAACAACAGGGTAATTATCTTTAATACCTCAACATTCTACTCTTACAAGACCCCAGTTTCCTGAGTGTGAATGCTCCACACCATTACAAAGCCACCAGCAGCTTATATAAAACTCTCCTGGTAGTTTGGACCCGTAACCTGCAGTCGCCTCCATGCACAAATGCAGCCATCTTGAAAGAGCTAGAAATATGATATATCTGACTAGACAGCATGACACCAGTTGTTCATGGTCTAATGACAACTTTCTTGTGCTCTGGGGTGAGACGTAGTAACCAATGCCATGACACTAGTAATGGCCACCATTGTTGGTCAACTAATACAAAACCCCATCCTACCCATGATATAGATTATATAAACATTTTGTAAATTGATAATAGTTTCATTTGTTTTTTATGGTATGAACCTTTTATAGGATATTTAAAGGTAGAAAATATTTTTACATTGTAAGAATTTTTTGGAGGTAATAATGATTTACTGATACAGGTGCTATTAATTAACCCATAGCTGGTGGGGAGAAGAGATGGATTCATACCTTTTCCAAGGATATTTGCATATAACTGAATATAATGAAACTGTATGGAATTTGAACTCGGCTCTCTGATTTCAAATTCCGAGCTGTTATCCATTACACTACCTGAACATGCAAGCTTACAGCACCTGGTATTCCCAAGTGGTTACTCATCTAGATCAGGTTCAATGTTGCTTAACTTCAGTGATCATACGAGAATTGATGTTTCAACATGATATGGCTGTAAGCCTATTAATAATGGAGAAATTGGAAAAAAAAATGAGTGACAAAATAAATGACATGTCTTGTGTTGGTAGTTTTTCTTTTTTCCTTTATATTGATTTGATCTTTTCTATAAAATATTTTGTAAGCACAAAAAAAGTAAGTTTTGTGTCTATTTCAAGAAATAACCTTCATTTAATTTCTTGACAGGGTTGTTAAATATTAAACAGTTACCCAAACTTAATTCCATCAAATGTCAAATGCCAGATGTAATGGACTGGGCATTTAAACTCAAGCGTAAAAAACTGGTGATTGAGGTAAGATAACGATTTAAAATTTTTTTTACAATCTATTTTCTCTTCATTTTATTTCTTTTGATGTCATGCTTAAACATTAGTGACAACAGAAAATATACCACAAAGGCTTCAGCATAGTGAAATCCGTTTTTCAGAAACTAGACAATGTATTGATGGACAGAAAAAATAACATAAAAAACTAAAGAAAAATCATCAAACTTGGACCTTCATGCCTGCAAAAACCAGAGTATCAAAAGGATGGTTTTTCCCTTGACACTGCTATTATTTTAACTACCCTCACTCCTTGGCAGTCAACTGGAGTGCTACATAACATGACTCAATGACCATTTGCTGTGGTCGCTTTGGAAAAGCAGTAGGGAATCACCCCTCACTTAAGGAAATGCAATCATCCTTGAGAAGCATTCGTTGTTTCATTGCTTGATGATTCTCTGATTAATGACAGGATATCAGCAGTAGACTGAGATGATTGAAATTTGTACTGATTATTGTTCAAAATGTTGTCCCTATTGAAGTATTCAACAACCTACTTGTTGATAAAAATTATACTGAATGATGGAAAAATAACATAAAAAACCAAGAAAAGTTGTCAAACTTGAACCTTTGTGCCTGCAAAAGCCAGAGTATCAAAAGTATAGTTTTTCCCTTGAAGCCACTATTATTTTAATTATCTTCACTCCTCTGAAATGTTTATTATTTTAAAAAGTGATTAGAATTGTAATAAAACCTAAACATATGATGAAAGTGAATTTGTACATTTTTTCTTCAGAATTTACAACAAAAATTTTAAACACTATTAAATTGTTTATTTACAAGAATAATTTTATACTTACAACATTCTAAAAACTAATACATTTGTATTAAAACTAATACAATGGAGTATTTATCATTTACCAATTTATAAAGTAATAAATATGAAAACAAATTTTAATCATGGATTTGCAAATATTTACTAAATGATTAAGGTATATGAAACAACTATAAGGAATACTTATTATTTACAATTTTATAAAGTTCAAATCGATTGGCAATTAGCTGATGTTTTGCCAACCATTCCAATAAACAATCTGACAAATAAATAGTTGTTTGTTATTTTTGTTACCAATTCTCAAGAACAAAAAAATGTATGAATTCACTTTCCTAATATACTTTTTAAAACAATAAACACTGTTGAGGAAGTGAAGGTAATTAAAATAATAGCAGTATCAAGAGAAAAACTGTCCTTTGGACACTCAGTTTTTAGAAAGGTTCAAGTTTGGTGGAGTGTGCTACTTAAGGAAAAGCAGTAGTGATTTAATGACTGCTTACTAAGTAAGTGTTTTTTTTTGTTTTTTTTTACCAAAAGAATTGAAATTTTCTATGGTGGGGTTAGTGTTTTTTATTCAGGCATGTTATTAATTTTGTCCTTGCTGGGATATTTATTGTAGTTGTTGTGCATAAAAAAATATTAATAGTAATAAGGTGATAATAATTTGTTTTGAAAAAATAGAAAAATATAGCATTGTTATTGCCTGCTTAGTAATTTATTTATTTTCTTAAACGGAGGATAAATGACTACTGCTTTCCTAAATGTACCAGATAAACACTAGTGGGACTAATATGACAGAGAATGCTGGACAGGTTAATCACAAATGAAGAAAAATTTTGAAGCAACCAAGATTCTGTTCTACTGACAGATGTTGAGAATGCCATAGACAGAACATATGATAAATGAGGAAGTTTTAAGGGGAATATGAAGTTCAAAGAAACTGTTGTCAGAACTCAGAAACAGACAGCTGAACTTTGGGCACAAAATGAAAAAATAAGGCTTGATGTGTGTGACACTATAGATTGGGCCCTGATGTGTTCTATTGACAACAGCAAAGATTGTGATACTTGATGTGGTTTCTCAATTAATGCTAATAATTGCAAATATTTTGCTTTATGAAACCTTCCTTGTTCTGTATTGCTTTTTTTTTACTGTTTTCATTTTATTGTATTTGTTGATTATGTTTTGAATTTAAACTCATTAAACAAGAATTGTGATGCATTTATTGAGAGTTATAATAATAAAAAGAAAAGAAATTGGCAACTTTTAAAGCCCATCATATGTAAAACACCTGTTAAAAGCTGAAGAATTAATCAATTGAAATGCTTGTTATGGTCCAATGATAGATTAGTAAAAATAGATTAGTAAAAAAGTGTTAAAATAACAAAGATAGAAAAACTACAAACCAAAATATGTGCAATGATGTTTTTTTGATTATTACATCAATGTCTTCTTTCTGAATTAGACAAATGATTTTACATGGTGGTGACATAATTGAATGTCAGATGAAAGATATCAAGATTCTGAAATTTCTGTTTTGTTCTTGTCAAGACTGAACTGAAAAAAGATTGAAGAAATTTGTCATATTTTGCCCAACAAACTTACTCTTTATTTCAGAAACTGCATTTACCTCCGGATTTGTCTGTTAGTGCCAGTCGACCTGAAGATCATCCAGCAACCTCAGTGAGTAGAGGAATGGGATGCAGTGGATCAGGGAGAAGCCATCTTGAGTTCTGAAAAAAATAAAAGGAAAAGTTTAAAGACAAAAGTTTTATCAGATGATTTTGCAGTCATCCTTAACAGTGAGTTTTCTGATGGATTCTCTGTAATTCACACTCAAACTTTCAGAAAAAAAATGCAAATGATCTGTGATATTTTCCTGTGAATATATTCCAGTGCTATTGTCTGGAAATGATATGCATTGAAGCAGCCACCCAAAAATGTCTGAAAAGATTTTCTTTCATCTCTCCATGAAAAAATCATCAAATCAGAAACTATTATTTTTTAATATATATGAGTCAAGAAAATTATGATATTGTGGAAAAAGAAAAAAATAATTTATGGCAACAAGCAATTCAATAAACAGATTTTGTTTTCTCAATAATGCTTTAAGTTTTGTCTATAATTTTGAGAAGAGTCATTATCATTCCAAGAGTTATTCAGACAATTGAACTCATTTCTTTGTGTTATCGGCTAGATGCTGAAGTGAGACCAGTATGAATTTGCTCGACAGGTACTGAATGGAATTCTTTGTTTAACAAGGAAAAGAATCAAGAATATCACCAAGTATAAATTATGGAACAAACTGTGAATTATTTACATTTAAAATATTACTAAAGATGTTTTGGATTTTCTGTTGGCTTCCATTTTCTACCTTGTATGAGACAATCTCTTTCCATCTTGATAGTATATCTGAAGATGACCATTGAATAAATCAGTTGAAACATGGGAACAACATCAATCACACAAAGAAATAATTTAATATAATTCTCTTGAAGTGCTCAGTGTTTGTTGTATACAATTTGAGCAATTGAAAGTATGTTGACCCTGTGCAAGAACAACTTGAGATAAAGGGTTACAGAGTAAGGGGCACATTTTACAGGGATATGTTGGGAAGATAATGATTGACTCTAGATTTGAACAGGGCAAGAATCCTCTTTAGAGTCGTTTCCACAAAATAGCAGATCATGAGAAGCTGCTCAAGTGGAACTTACATCTCCCCAATGGATTATGAACAGAATGAGGCTCATTCACTGCAATGTGCATGGCAAGGCAGGTCTTAGCCTTGAAGGTTACAACTGGTGTTACTAAGGAATGTAGTTCACCTGAACACTTTCTATAGAAATAGTGATAGAACAGCAAGAGGCTTGTGAAGTTTGTCTGTGGGAAATGGGTTGGAGAATGGAAAATAATTCATCATCTACAAGTATCTGAATACATATTTGGACTCTATTGAGACTGGAAAGTGAAGACCGGACAGCTCATGCCCATATATTGCAGCAGTACTCCATTTTCTGCCTGATCAGACATTTGTAAAAGTATAGGATAGCTGGAAGAGTCAGGTATCTAATGCAATTGTCCTTGAGATGTATTTGTTGTTTCATTGTTCAATGACTCTCTGATTAATGACAGGATATCAGCAGTTGACTGAGCTGATTGAAATTTGTACTGTTTGTTGCTCATGATGTCCCTAGTGAGGTGATCAACAACTTTCTTGTTGACTGTAGCTTCTAGAACTTTGCTAATGACACTGAGGAGGCTGATGGGTCCATAATGAGATGGAGATGAGTGCTCACCTGCATTCTTGAGAACAGGGTATACACTTCCACAAACTTGGGAAGGATTTCTCCTTCAGGCAGCAGTTAAATAGATTTGCTAAAATCAGGGATAAATCAGTGTTAATATTCTTAAGGACAACCAATGGGATTTTATCTGGGCCGGTAGCTTTCTTTTCTTTTGAAAAGTCTGGAGACTTCTTGGGCTGTGATAAAAATATTACTGATGTTGTGCTCTGTGAGATGGGGGAAGTCAGGAGGGGGATGGCCTTTTTTATGTAATTCGGCATTAGAGGCAACAGTCATGACAAAGAGCTTTGCCTCGGAGACATTTATAATAGTAGATATGGATGCTTTGCTTCTATTCAGAATTTGGTTGGAGATCTAGAACTCCCAGGATCCAAGGAGTTTGTTTTTGATCTTAGCCTGAAATGCTCGTGCATAGCTACACTTTGCATTTTCTAGAATTCCTTTGCAATGATTGTGGGCAGTTCTGAATTCAGGAAGTGTTCTACTACACCATTCCCTGTGAAAGATATTGTCATAGTGGTTATAATGCTGCAACACATTCAGGAGTGAACCAGGGCTCTGTTTGGTTTTTGTTGGAATTTTTCTGGTGTATAAAACTCTTCATTTCAGAAAGGATACATTCCAAGATGTAAGATCTGAAGTTACTTTTTGTGTTGGCTTTTGTGTAGCAAAAAATTATGGATGCTATTGGTTTGGCATCAACTTTGACTCTCACCAGTGAACAATCTCATGTATCCCAGGGGCATGCTTAACACTTTAATGAAGCATTTTCAGCGCAGGAAGTGAAGAAGAGGTCAAGGAGGTTCACTTGTTGCATCGGAAACATGGGTGGGCTCTTCAAGGATCTGTGTCAGTTTGTAGGTGACGGAGAAGTCTTAGCAATATCTGCCTTCTTCATCGGTTCTGCTTGACTTGACGGACCACCCTTTGTGGTGAATATTGACGCCACCATAAATATGAATGCTATTTGACGGATACTCAGAGTTGATATTACCAAGCATCTCAGCTATTCGGTTGGACTTTAGAGTTCCGTCAGCCTGTGGACGATAATAAAAATGAAAGTAATACTGTGGACAAGTAGCACATGGAAGCACATATATGGGAGATCATAGTTCTGTAACAAAATCTGCCAGAGATCTGTTAAAAATGTTCTGTATCTTTTAAACATTAATATCTCAAGTTTATCCATAAAATATTTTTTTAAATCAGTTCACCCCAAGTAAGGCAATAATACCACTAAGATACAAGGAGTTGTTGGGTGTGAAATAGAATGAAAAGACTTTAGAAGGAACCAGAAACCCAATCCTAAACATAAAACAAAGGATAAACCAGTATTCCTCTCTTCAAAAGACCAAGGAGGAGTGTGAATCAGATAATAGTAGAACCTATCTGCTCCTGTTGAAAAAAAAATAATAATAAATAAAATTTCAGAGTTTAGGTGGAAGTTTTAGAAGTATTGAGTTGAAGTAGACTTTAGAAACTTTAGAACTGGAAACTTAATCCTAAACAGGAAACAAGGGATTAACCTCTACTCCTATTCAAAAAGTTGTTTGAACTTGATGACAGGAGAACCTCAAATATAAGAAATTCAAATAATCTCAAATATTATCTTATAAGCATCTGACTGGTTCAATGTGCATTAATAATAGCAATTTTTCTGAGAATAGCAGTTAAATATATCAGAGGTTGACAACATTTTGGCTGAAACTTTCAAATAGTAAAAGACTTGATTTTATATCCAAAGTTTTTGAAATACTTTAACTTCAAATGAGTAAAATCACAAATACCAAACTCCTCTTTCTTGAGGAATTATATTTGTCAGAAATTGAAGCTGATAACTTGTTACACCCACTATTAATAAAGAGTAAATGATGGATGCTGTGTGATTCTTGTCATTATCCTAAATGACAGTGACTTCAAACTGTGTGGGGTCTGCTTCTCAAAGTCCTGATAAAAAAAAAAAGCAACTTAATAACGGGAAGAAAAGTTATCTCTTGTGAAAGAAATTGGCATGTCAAAAGCACAGCTTTTATCTTGACACTGCTATTAATGTATACCCACTCAGCAATTTTTACTGTTTCAAAAAGCTATTTATAGGATTTTAATAAAACCCAATCAATTAAGTTGACAAAATATGTATGAAACTAGAATTGATAATAGCTGCTGGCTAAGGAGAAGGTACAATAGTTTAAATTGCCCCAGGCGATCATCCCCCACCCCCGATCATGCCACTGCATTTGGACATGTTCTCAATGTTAAGTGAATTAAATTCTGCCTATCACTTAAAAGTTCTTGAGACAATTTGTATTAAAGTGAGACAACCATCTTTGTGTAAACAAAAGGAAATGGTGTTGAGTTTCAGTCTGATTGCTTTATAAGTATACATGTGTCAATATATTCTATTGATACTTGTGTATTACTTATGCATAATTCCCCACTCATCAATTCTTTTTTAGTCAGTGTGCTGTAGTTGAGTTCTAGAAACAGCAAAGGGATAAAACAAAAATTTGTAGGCCACAAAACTGCCCTTCACACAACACAATGAACAAAAAAAAAAATCAACTGCACTCATTCCTTGAGGATCTTGACTCATATTGTAATCTGTAAGTCAGTGATTGGTTGAGGGGAAGCAAAAACTTGCATGACGTTCTCTATATAAAAAGAGAAGTCATGCAAGCCCTCCTTTCTGGCAGTAAATAATACACATTTGGTGGGGTAAATTGCTATTTTCTTCACCACATTCCCTGCTGATCTTATGATCATAAATGTGACAGCTAGAGGTAGATCCCTTGATCCTGCTGCTTTGTTCTAAGAGCACAGTCTCCACCTCATGTGTTGAGTCATTTCCCCAGGAATCTGTATTTATTCACACTTCTACATGATCATTTTAATGTGGGGTACCTATGTGAGTTCACACTGGCCAAGGTAAAAAATAACCCACTCCTTACTACCCCTGTCATGCTGACATCAGTATTACACCAACCCTCCCTCTTTAGTGCAATGAGGGAGGTGTTGCCACAAGATTGGAATCCCTGAGACCAAATATCCTTTAAAGTTTTTTGTTTTCCATGAACTGTCCATATACATATTACCCCCCCCCCCAAACATGGTGGCAGGATGTAACGCAGGGTCTTTTTAATGCAGGGTGCCCATGTGCATACAGATGGGCCAATTGCCAAAACAGCCCAGTCCCTGTGACCACTGTCACACTGGCATTGGTATTATATCAACTCTCCCGCTTTAGTATAATGATGGAGGTGCTGCTGCAGGTTTGGAATCCCTGGGACCAGGCATCTTTCAAAGATTTTCTGTGAATTGTCTGTAGATGGCAGAAAGATTAGTTGTTTTTTCACTGCCAGCCCAAAAGGCTGAGGAGGTGAAAAACAACTTCCTCGATTTCACTGTCTTCAAAACTTACATATAAGTTGGGAAGTCAGTGATTGGTTAAGGAAGAACAAAAATTTGCATGATGTTCTCTATATAAAGAAAGTCATGCAAGCCTTCCTTTTTAGCTAGCAGATAACACACGCGACATGCTGTCACTTATTTTGACAAGGTAAGTCACCATTTTCTTCAATGCATGTGCACAATATTTTAATTCTCCTGATTGAGCTTTTGTGTCATAAATAGGAAAGGTTGACACATATATAGAAAATAAGAAGTAATTTATTCCAGAGAATAATATGGTACATGGTTAAGAACACAGACTAACGTAAGAAGCAGTTAATCATAAAGTATTTACATAAGACCTCCCCACAAGGCCATTTTTTATGTGAGGCCATAGACCCCATTTTTTATGTGCCCATAGACCCCATGTGCACAGGGCTGGATAGCTGTCTACCTCCCCAGATGAGACTGCCTTTTGGCATAGCCTAGTCTGGGTTCCTCTCTGCCCAGAGGCAGAGAGTTGACAAGCAGAATTAACTATAATCATTAACTCCTCTCCTTCAGTAAGAGAGAGTGCTGTTTAAATAATCTTAGACCAGTTCATCTTGTGAGGGTGTTCAGATACTCCACAACAGCTCTGATGAGAAAGGAACAAAAACCAGTCAGTTGATTCTATGAATTTTTTTGTATTGCTATTTGCTGTGGCTGTAATTTGTAGTTTCCTCTTCTCCCTAGTTTTTATATTTTATAGTTTATATTTTTTATATGCTTCAGCTAACATTTTCCATTTACATGAAGTGGAATGATTGAATCAATTGATAGGTCTGCTGCTAAGAAGGTTGGTTCACTGTGTTGTGATAGACGATTTTTCTCATCAAAATCTTGAACACTGATAAGTCTACCATGCATCGAATATTGCTGCCACATTTGGTTTGGTTCTGTTTTTTATCTGAAGATTCTTGACAAAATTCAAAGAAGAATCTGCAATATTATCAGTCCTGACCTGGTATTAGAAACAGTGGTAGAAGATGATGGTCCCAATTCTCACAATGTTAACAAAATCAAAAAGGATGAAAAGTTAGACAGATATCAAGAAAAGGTAATGTATCGTTTGTTTCTGTTCCATAAGTAAATCTAAAAAAAAATTTTTAAAATTGATAAATCAGTTAACTGGGGCAAGAAATGGCTGGCTAATTTTAATGCCTCTAAAACAAAACTATCTTTTGGGCATCTTAGAGAACCATTTTTGCTATCATCCATCAGCATGATTGATGCTAACCTCCTGGGGAATGACTGATTGCACTTTCTTGGTCTCACATTTTCCACTGACATGAAGTGGAATGATTAAATTGAATCAATTGCTAGGTCTACTAGTAGGAAAGTTGATTCACTGTGTTGTGCAAGACAATTTTTCTCTTCTGAATCTATCTTTATAAGTCTGCGGGAAGATGAAATAAAACCAATAAATAAAATAATAATAAAAAATAAAATGAAACAAATAAATTAATTTTCCCATGTTATAAAGACACTGGAATGTGTTTCTGGTCATGCGTGCAATTTTATGACTCCACTTCCAGAAGGGACAGAATCTCGCTCATTCCACGTTCTAACGAGATTGTTTGGATCTGTTTTTAGCTGCCCTTATCATGAAGTCTAGATTTGGCCATCCCAACTCTGTGCAAGGTTGACTTGAGCTTGACCATCTTTACTCATTCTTATCTTTACTTCCCATAAATAATTTCTGAACTGAAAAGGAAAATGGAAATACTCAAGAGATGTTTAATTTTGTTTCAATACGGTCAAAATAAAAGGAATAAATGTCTATAGCAGAAACTCAAGTTTTTTCTATGCTTCTTCTCTTTTCTTTGTTTATATATTAAACAAACACCTTCACCTAAAAAATACACACAAAAACCCACAATCTTGTTAACATCAAGCTTCAGCTTCAGCCATTTTCTCACTGCCATAATGTAGCTTCCATGTGCATTTTCTATAAATACTTTCATGGTAACTGTTCTGTTGAACTTTTCCCTATGACACATAGATTTTACGAATTTAAGGACAGTACTAGATTGGCAGCTAGATCTTATTATTTTACAGTTGAAATAGCTAGATGTAACCATAAGTTCTATGCTAACAATTTTTTCACACTTCTTGCTTGTGGAACTCTTCTGGCTTCTTGCTTCTTGCTTCCCAGCCAAGTTTGATCTTCAGAATTTAAATGTAATGTCAATCATTATCTACTGTCTTTTTGATTCCTCCTATTCACTCTCCTTAATAGTATTTTTATTTTTTCCTCATTCTAACACCCAGTAACTCCTTGCATCTTAGTAGCTTTATTGCCTTGCTTGGGGTGAAATGATTAAAAAAATCATTAAATTTTGTACCTCTAATAAGATTTTTCAAGCTCTAATATTTTTAGATGTGCCATTGTATTAAAATATAAACATACTTATACAAATGTACACACAATTGAAATGGGCAGCTGTTGCAGATCCTTTTTTGCATGGTCAACAACACTTCAGTATAAATCAAAATGTATCGGTCATTTTTATTACTACTTCTGTAATTAAACTGAATATATTTTCTAATAGATGTAGAATTCCCTAAATCCGAACATAGCATAATCTAGACTTCCTTGAATTAGACTTCCTGGGATTTGGACTCATTTTCAAATCCAAACTTTTGTATTGACATGAAGCCTTTTTTACCTCGAATCAGAACAGCAGCCTCAATACCAAACATCTCGGATGTTTGGTTTAGAGGAGTTGTACTGTATATTCTTTTTTGACTTCCTTTACAGATTGTAATTGTTTTTGAATAAGATATTTCATAAATTTTTAAACATTTCACAAAGTGTAGGTTTTTAACAAATTACAATATTTGTTTAGCACAAATATTTTCATTACTATTGGTTGTGAATTACTTTTTGTACATTTATGTATTCAATCTACACTTTAAATAAAAACAAATCAACGTCGTTACAAACTACCTTTTGTATCCTAAATTTTAAAAATTAACAAAAATTTTAAGCTTGCCACAGCAGCTTTTTCTTCCACAAATCCAAACAGTCCTGTCAATACTGAACATTTCGAATGTTCATTTTATGGGAGTTGTACTGTATTTTAAATGGACAAACAAGTTAAATTTGAAATTTTGTTGTCAACGAAGTGACAGAGTACTGAAATAGTAAATAACTAACTAAATATGTTATTAATGGATCACACAGGGAACCCATGTTTAATAAGCTTGTTCTCTCAGACTATTGAAACAATATTATATGCTTGAACCCCAGGGAGCCTCTCCCAGGCTTTACTTCTCCTTTGAGAGGGGGGTAGTGTCTTTATCTAGCAACTGAAACAATCCCAAAAGGGGAACTGCTGAGGGGGCTTGAGCAGTTTTTAATGCCAATTCATGAATGTGTTGCCTATTAATTCACTTTAAACTCTAATAAATACCCTTGTGGTTTTAAGTTTAGTAAATATGCAATATCTGTCCCCTATATGGCAGTGAATGCTGGATGATCACCTTCACAAATGAAGAAGAGACCTGAAACAACAGAAATGTTGTTTTACAGAAGGATGCTGAGAATACCATGGACAGAACATGTCAGCAACAAAGTTTTAGAGAAAATGTAAATAAAATGAACATTTATACTAAGCATCAGAAAGAAATAGTGGAAATTTCTAGGGCCTGTAATAAAGAAAGAGGGCTTAGAAAATTGACACTCACAGGACATATTGAAGGTGTTAGGGAAAGATTCCTTGGGTTACCGTTTGTGTGAAAAGAGTGTTGCATGTTCAAATAAAATTATATTTATTTAAATGTAGGTTACACAAATTTTGACTGTAATTATTTATGAAATGAAAGTTAGAAAGTTTTTGTCTTTGACTACAAGGAAATGAACATGAATATTCTTTCAGTAAGGAAGAGAAAAAGTGAAGTTGGGAGACAAGATCAAAAGGAGTCTGTTACTGCTTTGGTAAAAAAGACAAGACACCGAGGTTGACTCTTGTCTCTTTACAGCAGTCAGTCCTGTCAAGTTGAATGAATGTTTAATTTTTATGGTCTTGTGTAGGCCAACGTCCTAAAGGGACAAGACACATAGAAGAAAAACATGAATACATGAAAATTGTGTATTATGTTATGAATATTCAATGAAAATGATTTAATTCTTATTCCTTCAATCATAAACATCTAATGCTTTCCTAATTGCAATTGGACTGATTTATAAAAACAACATCGTTTTCTCAGTTGTTGATTATTGTCAGAATTATTATTTATTTTATTTTATTTTAAAACAAAATAAAAAGTAAGACGTAAAAAGAAACATTACCTTTTAGAAAAATCAATTCAATCGTGACAAAGTGAGTTAAAAACGTTTTTGATGCTAAATAAATCGAGTTAATTCAATTTTTCACCATATGTCTTTGTCTTCAATGAATAATCAAAATAATTATTAAAAATATAGTATTAAGTTCTTGGAACTTCTTGTACCATTGCAATGGGAAATCATTGAATCCTTTTTCTCAGACGGGACAATTACCGATTAACACCGTTTGTTGATTCTCTTTGTTCGACTTTATTATTCTTTCTAAGAGTTAACGTGAAAAAAAATCGCATCTTGTTTCTTGGCACTGTTTTTTTTGTAATGTAATTATAGTTAAGGTTAATGTTAGAAGCTGTAAAACATATCGTTATTAGTACAGACGAACTCTTAAAGTGAAAGAAAATAATCTCGGACACTTTTTAAACGCTTTTACTAAATTTGAAAGGTAAGCCGGAAAAAAAATTATACACAAATTGTTCCCTTTTTATTTAATTAATTTTTGCTTTTAAAATTAGTTTTCAGACTGCAAAAAATTATCACCAAAGTTCTAAAATGCAATTGTTCAGATGACTAACTTTAAAGATAACAATTATTATTAATGCTAAAAAAAATTCACAGGTATATTGTAGAAATATGAGGCGAGTTAAAGAAATAAGGGGAGGTAATTCAGTGTTTGGTATGCGGAAATTGTTTAGAGCGGTAAAAAAGTCCACAATATGTGCTTGGTTTTGCTTCTTTTTTTTTTCTTGATTGAAACTGGATTTGCAGTTCAATCCTTTAAAATCATTGACAACTTCTTTGAAATATGAACAAGATCAATTATGGAGAAAGCTCCACCAGAGACACCCTTATTCCAACCACCCCTTTTAATTCAGGAAATTTCCTCTAAACTTTTAATTTACTTTGCAAGCATTCTTCTTCTTTTTTTTTTTTTTACAATGATCTTCACTGTGTACAGGGCTCAAGAGCCACTCGAGATAGAAGGTTACAGAGTAAGAGGCACAGTTTATGGGGGAAAATAACAATTGACAATAGATTTGAACAGGTTAATATGGAAGTGATTGGGAAAGCATCCTTTTGGGAGTTGTTTCCGCAAATCAGCTGTTTATGGGAAGAAGCTGCTTGAGTGAAATTTATAGCTCACCATTGGAATACAAAGTGAATGAGGGTGGTTTGTTACAACGCGTGTAGCATGGTGGATCTTAGCCATGAAGGTTAGAGCTGGTGGAACTAAATACATCAAAATACTTTTCATGGAAATAGCGATAGAGCAGTGAGAGGCTTGTGACATTTTGTCTGTGAGAAAGGGGTTGTAGAATAGAAAATAATTACCAACAAGGATGCGAATATGTGTTTGGACTCTACCAAGTCTGGAAAGTGAAGACTGCCCATATATAGCAGCATTACTCCATTTTTGGCCTGATCTGGCTCTTGTAAAGGTAGAGGATAGTAGGAGTCAGGTATTTACTGAAGTGTTTACAGGGAACTGACTGCTTTTACAGTATCTTTAGCAATATATCATATGTATGATGTTCACTTGAGGTCTGGGTTGAGTTTAATTCGCAATAGGTGTTTAAGGCATGGGGCCTCCCTGAGGGAACACCCATTCATCGTTATTGGTGAAAGTTCTGGGCATTTTGAGGCATTGAATTTGACCAGCCAGTTTTCCCTCACTGTGCTGTTGAAGCTAGATCATCTGAGAGATCAGCTACCAACCTTTGGTCATTTTGGGGTGCACCATATGCCATTTTATCATCAGCATAGAGATTCACAAATGATTGGACTATAAGGCAGATCCTTTCTGTAAAGTAGAAAGAGAGTAGCTATAACAAAGGTTTTCATTACTGAAAATTATGAAAAAAAAAACATTCTAGCCATCCATTTTATTCCAACCACCCCATTAATATATATATATACACACACACACATATTTGTGATACAACTATGAAACACTGGTTGATTTACGAGAAAGGTGAGTTCATGATAGCTTGGGGAAATGATCTCAGTCTGTGAAACCATTAGAAAGTGCCTGAAAATCAAAATCACCATATGATTGACCCAAGTTTTGTGAGTGAACTTGGTTAGACAAAGCTGTTTGGAACCCATTGATGGTTGTGCTAGCAAGTCATCATAACTGAGGGCTTGAGTGTACTGGCTTTGTTCAACTCATCATACCAGATTATGTGCCCACTCCCAGAAATTATAACTAAGGTTTGCTCATCAGAGAGTATAAACTGTTGAGAAAAAAATGTGCCTGAGCTGGTAACTGCAACAGGGATTAGCTAGCCACTATAGTAGACTAGTTTACTCAGAAATGAGTTGACAGTCACTATTTTATATATATATATATATATATATATATATATATATATATAAAAAAAAAAAAAGAACAGTCAGATTGATAATCCAGAGTTCTTTAACATTTATTTTTAAAAACACTGCTTGATACAGAGTAGAGCATAATATTATATTTATTATTTAAAAATATGTATTCATCATGACACAGAAGTTACCATATTTTGAAACTAAAACCTAAATCTTAAACTTAAAATCTAAAGTTTTTGTTTCATTTTCAAGTGATGCCAAATAACTTTTGAAAAAATGATTTACTCTTTTTATAAGCTAAATAGCATTATATGGTTTAAGTTGGTGGGGGAATGAGATTACAAAATTTTTTAAGGAGGCATTGGTTTTTTTGACAAATCAGGATACCAGTATAATTTAAGATGACAAAGTAAATATCAGTTAAGGGTTAGGTGTGGGTTTGTAATTTCTGTCTGTTGATAATGGCTTCTTTATATGAGAATGTGTCATCACTGGTTTTTTAAAATACACTACAATACAATTGGCATTTTTATTTATTTTTTTATTTTATAAAATACATTGGGGTTTTATTAAAGGGGCTTTCAAATATGATTAAGTCATGTTTTTTATATTTTATTTATAAAGATCTAAAATACTATATTATATTTATTAATAAACTATATATGGTATTGTAAAATTAAAATATTTGAATTTAATATTAGAATTTAATTACGCATTTTCTTACTTTCTAATTTTTGATCAAATAATTGATATGTAATTATGCAAATTTTTCATAATTATTTTTTAAAGAAAATACAATGTCAACAAAGAACTGTTATTTCATTTCTTTGATTTAATAAATCTTTATTTTTCAGAAACTTAATAATATATAATTTTTCATTTAGGCAAAAGGACATGGATCAAAATGTCTTACAGAATCTGTAATTTACTAATGCACTGTCTGATCTGTTGAGGATCCTAGTTTACCAATGCACTATGTCATCTATTGAGAATCCTAATATTGAAAATATTTATATTGGGAGCACTAAAAATAGATTTAAATTAAGATGGAGCCAATATCTGTCTTCCTTCCATAATAATAAGTATTGCAACCAAACATCGCTATCCAAATATTCTTGGCATTTAAAAAAAACAAATAAAACACCCACAGTAAAATGGAAAGTAATGAAAAAAAATGAGAACATGTAGATCTTTAAATGACCCTTGTTCTTTGTGCCTACATGAAAAGTTATATATAATTAAGTTTCTGAAAAATATGCTTAATACTTCTAGTATGTGTAGTCTTTTGTTATTTTTAGTTTATGTGATATAGTCTTTTTGTGTCATTGGTAAGGATTTATTGGATTTCTTTTTTTTGTTTTCTTGTGTGAGTTAGATGCTATTTAATTAAACTATTATTGTAAAAATGGCATGTTAACCAGTTAAATAATTTGGTGGTTGTGTAACCAATGTATTATTTGAATTATTATTATATGTTACTCTAATAATAAGAATTCAAGCAACACATACATTGGTTACAAAACTACTATCTACCTTATTGTTGTAAACATTTTTTTAAACAAATTATTATTTTGCCTTTTATTTGTCTTTTTCAAATTAAGTCTGAGTTTTCTAAAAATAACCTGATGAGAGTAAGTTTTTAAGTTCCCTGATTATGAGAGAATGCTGGAGTCATCAGGAAACTTTCTGGTTAAATTTGAATTCTGGAAACTAAAATGCAAGTAAATCACACGCTTGCTCTCAATTGAACACTTGATTAATTTTTCAGGTAATCCATACAGTTAAACATGATTTATTGAATATGTTTAAAACCATTGATTTTGTGATATATTGATGAGAACAGATTTTCAAAAGAATAAAATATCATCTGTGACAGTTATCTTGTGCTGGCATCCTATTATTATGTAGTAATTGATTTTTCAAAGTATAATTCATTAAATGGTATTAACCTATTGTTTATTCTTTAACAAATTGTATTTCATACTCAAAAAGAAAGCATTGAGCATTATAATGAAAACAATTACAAAAATAGAAAGTTCATTATGATTCAAAAGATAAGAGAGAAAGATATGACTATGGATAGACATGAAGCAATTTCAGGAAAGAGGGTATTGCAGGGCATTGAACCAAGACAATATTACAGGAGGGGGTACAATGTGAGGGACTATGACAATGTAAGGGTAGAACCGAAGTGTGACAGAATTACAGTAAATTGATCCAAGATGCTCTAAGGGAAGCACATCAGTGTGTGTGTGTGTGTGGGGGGGTATCACTATGCATCAGCTCAATCAATGTATGGGAAATACTGCAATATGAGGGCATAACTGTACATGTGCCTAAGACAATGTCAGAGAAGCAATGCAGTGTGAAAGTATCACAGTACATTAGCCTAAAATGCTAAAAATTCCCAAGACAGTGTGAGAATATAACTGTACATTGGCCCAAAATGCTGAAAGTGTTCAAGACAGTGTGAGAGTATCATTGTACATTGGCCCAAGATAACTGTTATGAAAGCAAAGCAATGCTGGCACCTGGACCTGAAGACATTTGGTGAAATAAGCAGGCCAAAAATGAAAACTACTTCATTCTTAAAGAAAAAATTGAAGTATAAATGAAAAATGTATTTAAAAAATTTCAATAAATGAAAATAAGTTTCTGTTCAGCCTTCAACATTTAATGACATTAAACCCAAATCTTGAGTCAGCTGTGAAGTTCAGAAAAGAAATGGCATTTTTTTCAATATTATATACAATCTATATTTCTATTGGTACATTTCTTACTTTGCCATCATAATGAATAAATATTAAGTATAAAATTCCGCTTTGAAATATTTTGAAACTTCAGAAAGTATAATGCAGGTTGTAAGTAGAATCGTTACTGCATGTGTATTTTTTGTATAATGTTATTAAAACAAACTCTGTTTTTCTGTTGTATCTCATTATTTTCCAGTCATATTGTTGATTAAATCACAAGAATTATGTTAATGAGTGGATGGATGAGACTTTAATATGCCACTTTATACTATAGTTCTATAAACAAAACACATCCAAATTGAATATTCTATTTAACAACAATAACAAAAAAAGTTAACCAGGCTACTAGCTGAAGATAATGCTTTCAAGTCAAGCAGGTTTTGTAATTAAAGTGCTCAATATCAAGAGATATAGCTCTAATAGTAACAGATTGCATCCACTTGTCACGAGCCTCATAGTAAAATATAATTTATTTACAGAAACTAATTTTCTCAAAAGGCATGACTTAATTTTCCATAAAAAGACATTTTTTATATAAACTTCTAATTTTTTTCTTAAAACATTATTGTACGACATTAAATTATAGGTACTATTTAATTTTTGTATCTAGGTATTTCTCTTACAGTAAGAATGTATATAAAAATGATTCCATTTAATTAAATGACATATACTTCTCATAACCTTTAATGGTGTATACGTTATAAATCAGTTGAAAGTGCTACAAATCAGCAGTACTTTTTCTGAAAACTTTTCAACAAAATAGGATTGTTTCTCCTCAATATTTGTTTCTTACTGAAAGACATTCAGACTTCTATTTTGACCTGCAACTTACAATAGTTACTGCACAAATTTTATAAGATTTTGTGACATTTGATAGGCAATTCAAATTCATTCTCTTGTTATTGCTAAGTTGTGAAATTTTGTACATTATTTGTTGAATGTATTTTAAATTTTTATTTCAGTTTGTACATCGTCTGGATTGGATGAGCACTATGAATGCTATAAAAAAATCGTTACACTGTGATATTTGTGATTTCGCAGTTTCCTGTAAATCAAAACTTGAACAGCACATGAGAAAACATACTGGAGTGAAACCTTTCCCTTGTGAGGTTTGTGAAAGAAAATTTTCTCAGAGTTCAACTCTCAAACGTCACATGTTAACTCATACTGGGGAAAAGCCTTTCCCTTGTGTGTTTTGTGGAGCAAAGTTTTCCCAGAGTTCACATCTCAAATCACACATACTCATTCATACTGACGAAAGACCTTATCACTGTGAGGTTTGTGAAGCAAAATTTTCACAGAATTCAGCACTGAAAACACACATGAGAACTCATACTGGAGAAAAGCCTTTCCACTGTGGTGTTTGTGGTGCTAGTTTTGCTGGAAACTCAACTCTCAAAAGACATATGCGAACACATACTAAAGAAAAGCCTTTTCAGTGTGAAATTTGTGAGGCAAGATTTTCACATAGCTCAACTCTCAAACAACATATTTTCATACACACTGGAGAGAAACCTTTTCGTTGTGAAGTTTGTGAAGCTAGCTTTTCTCATAGTTCAAGTCTCCAAAAGCACATATTAACCCATACTGGAGAAAAACCTTTTCACTGTGAGCACTGTGGGGCCAAATTTTCTCAGTTGTCAGGTCTCAAACCACACATATTGTCACACACAGGTGAGAAACCCTTTCAGTGTGAGGTTTGTGATGCAAAATTTTCCCGAAGCTCAAGTCTCAGAAGACACAAATCCACACATAGTAAATAATTACATCACTGTTTTCTATTATAGATTGTGAACTAAATATTCTATAATTTCACTTTAAAAATATGTGTGCAAAGAAAAAGTTTAAAACATTTATGGACCAGTATTTACAAAAGATGTTTAATTCAAACATCAAGTCACATATATCAAGACAGAAAAAAATAACCATTTGAGGTTATGGACCTGTTAGGGATGTTTCCATTTTTACATATATATTGGATATTTTTTTATCATGTAAGATTTTCAATAAAATAACGTTTTTATATAATTCACTTTAAAAATGAAGAAATTATGCCAAACTTGAATCTTTGTATCTGCAAAAGGACAGATTTTCCCTTGACACCACTATTATTTTAACTACTTTCACTCCTCGTCAATGTTTATTATTTTAAAAACGATAAGAATTATAATAAAACCTAAACATATAATGAAAGTGAATTTATACATTTTTTCTTGAGAATTTAAAACAAAAATAAACACTATTAGATTGTTTATTTACAAGAATAATTTTATATTTACAATATTCTAAAAATTAATACAATTAAAGCTAATGCAATGTAATATTTATCATTTACCAATTTATAAAGAAATAAATATGAAAATGATTTTTAATTCATGAATTTATAAAAATTTACTTAATTATTAAAATATGTGAAAGGGAATCTTTATTATTTATCATTTTGTAAATTTCAAATCAATTAGCAACTAGCCAATATTTGCCAACCATTTCAATAAATAATAGTGTAAATAAACAATCTAATAAATAGTGTTTATTATTTTTGTTGTCAATTCTCAAGAACAAAGAAAATGTATAAATTCACTTTCATATGTTTATATTTTATCACAATTCTAATCATTGCTTTTTAAAGCAATAAACATTACCAAGGAGTGAAGATAGTGAAATAGCAGTGTCAATAGAAAAACCATCCTTTTGATATGCTGTTTCTTTGCATGCATGAAGATCCAAATTCACCAAAATCACTATATCTTGCTTTAAAGTTAGATATTTTTTATGAAAATTTGTTTAAATCTTTATTTTATTTGCATTTGAAAATTTAGAAGTCAAGCCAGATTTATATTTCTTTTTTCATGTCGACAATAAGAACATTCTTATAAAAAAAACATTTGATGATCTTTCTACATATCCATTAGCCTATAAGAATTATTTATTATACATTTTCCTGTATACTATACATTTTTCCATAATCAATGATGAATTATTTTTTCTCTTTATTTTATTGCAGTGATTTAAAATTATTTACTATTTATTTTTTGTTGCTAGTTGTTCCACAATCTCATTTTTCACATAGATTTAATATATATATATACATTACAGGAATTAAATCCTATATATATTTTTCAACCAATAAAATTTTCAATTTCCCTTGCAGTGAAGTTTGTTTTATAAAGTAATTAAGTGCTCTTAGTGCCATGTGGAAATGTGTATACTTTATGACAGTCAGTCTAATGTGTTTGTGAATTTGTTGACCAAGGCTTAATTGGCGGTTGCCAGTTAATCCCTTCTATTGTGTGCATGGACAAGGCCTTGATTGGCAGCTGTAGGCTGTCTCTCTTCCATTATGTACATGTGTGTGTGTGTGTATGCACATGCAGATCTAACTGGCCTTCCAAATTGTTTTGAGCCCCAAGAAGCTGTAGCTTTCTATTTTTATATCTGTAAGATGATTCAAAATTTTATTTTACATAGAGATGTAAACTTTTTGAATACAAGGTTTTCATTAATTAGAAAATAATTTCGCACTGGCCTGCAAAAATCTTTTTCTTGAATTTGCAGGAGTGGTGAAGGGAGTTATTATTGTTATTTTCTAAATGATACAAAAATAGCATGTGATAGATCTACAACTACTCTGCAAGTACTTTGGTGGTATTTGCCTTAGTAATTATTGTTTATCCAAAAAACCTTCTGATGGGATTTTATTGGTTGAACTATATAGATATAGATATATAGGATTTAATTCCTATAACAATAGAATTTCAGGAACTGCAGCTGTTTATTAAAAAAATGATTTTATTTCCAATTGAGATGAAATACAGGATGTTTCACAATTGTTGAAACAAAATGATCAGGCACAAATCAAGGACCACAATTGATAGTAATAGAAATTACATTTATTGAAAGGTAAAAGGATAACATTTTAGGATCTGCAACCATTTAGTCTCAAACATGAGCCAAAAATGTCAAGAGGATCCCTAGAGTACATGCTCCAGATGTCTGCCATTCAACTGAAGGCACTGTTGAATGCAAAGTTGTTGATCATGCATGCTCATTCCTCCTGGGTGATTGCTTGAATCTTCTCAGTGATGGCTGCCTTCAACACAGCAATGGTGTTAGGGTTGCCCTGGTAGATGTTGTCCCTGAGAAATCCCAGAGGAGGAAATCTGGGGGGTTCAGGTTAGGGGAGTGAGGTGTCCATTCCACTTCAGCTTTGTGTCTGATGAGAAGCTCCCCAAACTTTTCATGGAGCCATGCCATGGTAACATTAGCATTGTGAGGAGGAGCATCATCCTACCGGAACCACTGTTCCTCCTCATCAAGATCCTCATGCTCCTTGAGCTCTACCCATCTGAAAGGCCACAATTTTGAAACACCCTGTACTTATTTCTGTTGCTATTTATAACTAGAACTGATTTGAATAGATACCTGAAGGAGAATTTTCTTGGCAAAATGCCTCTCTGCTGCATGTAAAAGTAAAAACTGATAAGAAAATATCTTCCCATTTGTATTCTGTGTCCTAATGAAGAATCAATACACATCAGGTGAATATGTATTTTATTTATCCATAGAAAGTATTGCCAAAAATCTTGGGGAACTGAAGATGCAAGCTGATTTTTATCAGAGAGAAATGTGAAAAGAAAAAAAAGGATTGATTTCAAAAGATATGTGACATGTCTGATGAAACATGGGAAAGCAGATTTTGATCTTTTTAGATTTCTCCAGGTTTTGTGTGAATCGATTGTAGAACAAGGTGTGAGAGGGATAGTAGATAAAACAAACTTTGCTAAGATCTACAAAGCATAGGATGTTGGATTGGGAAGGGGTTGCATGATTACCCACGCTGGGAAGCTTATTCTGTCACTGTCATTGTTCTTAATTGAACTCTTAAATATTTCACCTGTTAATCACAAAGAACTGAATTTTATATTTGCAGAATAAGTTGTATTGAAATTAATGTTTAATAAATTAAAATGTACACAATGTTAATCTGAAGTCTAGGCAGTGGCATGCAGATGTTTGTTGATGTCTGGATCCAAGTCCTTGATTGCATGCCCCTAATACTCAAGTAGGAGGTCCTATAGGGCCTAATACTGAGAAATATGAGAAATGAAGACTTTTTTATTTCACTCTTTGATTGGATGCCCAGGGGCATTGCACCCTCTGCTTCCACTTCTGCATGCTACTGAGTCTGGGAAACTTAAAATGCATGAGAGAAAAAAGGAGTGATTTCAAGAGATAGGTGAAATGTCTGGTGAAACACTGGAAACCAAATTTTTCATCAATTTTTTCAAATTCTCCAAACTTTTAAGTATCATTTCCTATTAGCAAAATATACAATTGTTAGAGTGCACTATTTTTTTTAAAGTATTTTTAAAAATAAACTGATTCAATAATTAATGCTTGCAAATATGAATATTCACTGAAAGAATTTTGTTTTAATTTTTAATACAAAAATAAAACTGATCAACTCCTCAATCTTGCCATTATTTCAATGTGTCAATGGCTGTGTAAAACATAGAAAGAATCTTTCAGATTGAATTAAAAACAATAGATATATTTAAAAATTTCAAATTGAGATATTTTAATTTAAATTAATATTTGTCTATAATATTTAAATTTGATCTTTAAATTTTGCAATTGAATTGATAAATAATTTGATGGTTGTGGAATTTTATGATTAATCATTCTTCTCACTCTTATTTTTAAAAAGTTTCACTTCTTTTATATATTTTCAATACCTTTATGCCATAAGGATTATGAATAAACCTGCAAACATTTGTAACTCATTTTAATATTTTTTAAGATGAGATCTTTTAGAAATAATGTAAAAAAAAAAAAAAAAATTTCTGTTTTCAGTCTGCCTATCTATCTATGAGGGAATGCTGAAAGGTTTTCAGCTTGACCTACTTTCTAAAATATTTTACACAGATTTTTTTAATTTTTTCATTTGAATACTGGGAAATTTTTCCTATGAA